TAGATATTTCCCTCCGAGAGTGAGCTAACAACTCGTCTCTCTCTTTAACTGAAACTTTCGACTTTCAAGTTAAGTATGCTACAATAAATAGTTAAGTGTTCTCTGTCGAATGAAACACCGCTCAGCTTTCTGTGACCTATTATTCTGCACTATTTAAGATTGGCAGTTGCAGATCCTAATTCCTATTGTTCACTTTACAAAATCATCTACAGGCATATTGACCAACCAAAACGTTTTCAAACACCTAGTCATTTAAACAAAAGTGTTTTCTTCAAAATGAGATAGATGTTGCTGAACCCTGTACAATATTTCAACCAAAACTTATAAACATTTTTCTAAGAGCACCAAAAATTCTGCTTTTCTTTGCCTTCATTGCGTAGTTTCACAATTTAACGAGAGAGGAAACTATTTCAACCTACCTGCACCTATACATAACTGTCATCAACCACTAAAACAGCTGTAATCACGACCATCTCGCGTTAGTTGATGTGCTGGTTCTGTTGAATGTTTTTGTATGATATCATTACGCATTACATGTGAGAAATCAAGATGATAACAAACAAAATTACACATTTATGCTTTATGAGCATTTTATATAACTTTCCATACGGTACGTTTGTCGGACTAGCTGGAAATAACAGACAAAATGGTATTTAATAAACCTAAACGTAATCTTCTTTAAATGGAGAGTGTTCGGACAGAAATGTCGTCAATGTTATCGATCAGAAGATCATCAAGCTCATTATGGCGATGAACAAATTGAACGAACGATGGATTATTTACTCAAAAAACTGTTACTGAAAGCGTATAATATTAATTTGACAGTCGGTCCGCCGCAACTGAATTACAACAATAACCGTGGCGATGGTTGGGCATGTTATTGTGAAGCATGGATGTCCGGTAATTATCGTCGAAAACAAGATTAGTGCTGCTTCACTCTTTATATGTAATATTTCAAATGGAAGTTTACACTTTCATTGGATTATGGTGATTGATCGTTTGTTCTCTTATTTCTATCAAAAGACAAACATGCTAAGTCCACAGAGGCCATTTCATTCTTTTATTCTCTTGTGTTATATCTCGATAATTTTTTTTCTGCAGTCGGATAAAATCGTAGTTTGACACCATAATTTGTGTTTTATATCAGCACTTCAAAGAGAAAATAGTGAACAAAATTCACGTTTGTTATATGCGTACCTCGAAACTTATCAGTACAGATTTGTGGACATTTGCTCGTGGTTAAAATTCTATTATTCTAGAGCTGCTCACATCTAAACTGCCTTTCTTCTTTGCTTTTGCAAAATGAGGCTGTTAGGATTCTCTCTATGGTGTTCGCTCCTGCTCACCTCATCTTGCTACTTTGATATGAACTTTCTATAGATATGTGGGGGTTTTGATGCCAGAAAATGTTCGACACGCCAATAGCTACAAAAGAACATTAGTAATTTTTCTCGTCCATCTCGGCAAATGTTTAAAATTTTTCTTCAGATTTGGGCACAATTCTCAAATAACAAAATATCATACATTCCATAGTGAGGTGATACCAATATAAATCTGTCTAGTTTGACGGATTTTTGTGTTGAACGATGAATTTATCAAAACGAGATACCAGAGACAATGCTTGTCAAAGTTTTCAAAAGAGTTAAATAGAAATAAATTTATCTAGAACATCGAGGTGTCACAAATGCTCCACCGATCTTATAGTCCGTGGACTCGAAACCATGGATCTTTTTTTATTTTCCAGAATAAAACATGGATAACCTGCGAATGCACTACTTTTTGAAAGTTACAAAGATGCATTAAACGAGAAGATTCAACCAGAGAAAATTATTATATAATAAATAACTTTTAGGGTTAAAATATTGAGAAGATTCCTTTCTATTTTCTCTGTAACTATCGAAGACACCGCTATCGGGATACAGAATCCGAAAATGGTTGAAAAAAAGACGCTGGTGTCCTTGACAATCCCCTTATTCTATCATTTCACTGTGTCGACACCTAATTCTTTTTTGTGGAAGAATCCGAAAGATATTTTACACTTTTATAG